GAGGAACAAGAAACAGTCATGAGTACAAGTGGGGATCCCCGTGAAAGAACGGTGCCAAGAAGTGACAACGACAAAGGAACAGGGGAGTGGTGCCCACAAAAGTCAGCAGTAATTCAACAAGAGAGACCCCCAAAGTCAAAGCCAGCCAGCAACAACCAGCCCAAAAATACAAAAAGATTTTCATTATTATTGTTTCAAATAAATCCAAGGACAACAATTTCTCGCATTCATTATTATGCTTTCAATGATCGTGGGGGGGGGGGGGTTGTGACAAGAGGAGGAACAATAGATCCATCATTCATAGACTGCATGTCTGCGTGAAAGTATTGAAAAGCAACATTCTAAATTCAAACACTTACCAGCCCTCACTGAAGAAAACAAAAATTCAAACCAGTGAAAAGATAAAAAATTACAATAGAAAAGTCAAAACAAACAACAGCGCCCAGTTTTAAAAAACCACTGAAAGAGACTGGAACTCTTTTTAAAAACCCACAAAAGGTGAAGAGTGGAATATGATGCTATGAAGAACAACAAAATAGAGAAGGAAGCCAAGCTATAGAGAGGAGCAGTGTATCCGTAAAGCAGGAAGGTTCATCAAATGGCTGAGAAGTAAAGTCTGGGGAACACACCACCATCTCAGAGGCCCAGAGAGAAGTAACAAATCCATAGCGGAAAGAAGGATGTGAAAAGTTTGAGGAAGTGCATTTCCCCCCACTCCAAAGCCCATAGCCTTCTTTTTTCCCTTAAAATCTTTTGATCTCGGCTTCTCTTTCTGAAACACACACAGAAGTACGGGAAAAATGAGGCCGGCTTAGGGCTGTTCAGGACATCAAAGGTGTTGTACCCCCAATCAAATCCACTTTTGGCTGAGGCAAAGCTCAGCTACAAGCACCTGTTTGCCACTTTATTATCCCCCAGCCCCCAGCGTCTACCTGGTAAAATACTTAACACTGCGGCAGGGAGGAGGGGGAGACGCATCAAACTCACGGCCGCTCAAGAGCCGCTTTAGGATCCCGGTTCATTTTACAAGGAGAACGTGGCGAAAGATCGCAGAGTGGGGGAGGGGGGAGGGAGGGAGGGAGAGAGAGA